AAACATGTCGTGTTCAAGAAATTTATGGAAATTTCATCGTTTGTGAAGTTTTTACATTGCGTATATTATATTCCTCTGCAACAGACTCATTTTCACAACAGTACGATTTCGATGAATAATTTGCAAAAATCTTTATATGATATTAGGAATGAATGAGATGAAGTTTTGAATTATTCATAGTGTAAATCATAATCTAGATTATATTTGGAATAAAATAAAATTAGGTGCTGTAGTATTATATTTATGTATTATTACTGAGAAAGTATTAAAATTCATTTGCTACTGAAATTGCACTGGAAAATTCATTGGCATATTCACAACAATAATGATCAGTCCTGTGAAAATTTCATCAAAAGTTTCAACGACAAAAAAATATTCATGTTTTGTACCAAAATGACCACTCTTATTCTCATTCAGATTCATTATTCACATGTTTTAAATTTTGGTGCAATGAATTACCAGTGAATTCTGTAAGGGTATTGCATCTGCTTCACAAAAAATATACATTTGGAATTGATTTCCTCTGAAAGAGGACATTATATAAAGCAATGAATAGATGAAAATATTAAAGAAATTACCTTTATAATCTGTTCCTAAGAAGTATGTAAGAAGTATCTGCTACAGACAGACGTATACATTTGGGAATAATGGGCTGTACCCATTTTTTTATATGTTCTGCCACATTTTGTATGATTTTGCTTCTGGTTGAAAAGCTGTGTATCGATACATTTTGTATCTTTATACTGTTTACACTGCGGCGCAAAACAATATCTCTTGAACTTGCTGCCCATCATTTATCTCACCCGGTGGGTAACTTATCTCTGCCGGCGAAGAGATTTGTTCAAATTCGAATGCATTTGCATGTCATAAATTCATGTAAAATATAACTAACGTTTACTGACGGAAACAATGGACTGAACGATTTATACCATGCTTGGCCTCATTTTAAATGAGACTACGTAGACCACGGTCTGATCCATAGTCGACTACGGTCTGAACGAATTGAGACGAATTGACCATGGTCCGACCTGCCGCTGAACGTAGCCCAAGTGTCGCTAAAAATCATTTTTCTGCAACCGACACAAAAGTCGTCCATTTTGATACCAAAATTAGCTCTTAAATTGACGTTTCTATTACTGACACAAAAATAGGTATGTTGCTAGGCAACATATTCAGTTCCTAGGAGATAAAGTTGAATTTTACTTCCTAGGAGCTTAAGTTGAACTATAGCTCCTAGGAACTAAAAAGGATCTACTGGACGTCATCAAGAATGAACAACATTGTGACGGTTGGTTATTTGGGTTGAGACGCATACCTGATTTGTTTCCGATTTCAGCAGATTTGTCATTGCATACCCATGCTGGAGATATGAATACACCTTATTATAGTTTAGTATTGGAATTATAAACATCTCAGTTAATTATTTTTGTTTTGATCAGGGAAGCCTTCAAGATTCAAATACTTGCTTGATCAGTATTTCATTCGTTATTCTCGGGATGAATAACTTGTTTTTGAATAATCACGGCAAGCAATAGTTTTTTTTGTCTCAAACAACGATATTGTTTAGCTTCATTTGATTATCAAGTCAAACACAGTGTAGTATGGAGAGGAATAAATAATCACTATTATCATTGTTGAAATGCTCACTAACCTAACATTTTTCACGTCTTGTTCCTATAGCTGGCACTGGCGCGGTATTTGCCATTAGAGCACCTGGTCCATACACAAATATGTCACACTGTGGTTGTATTTATATTGAAACTACAATTCGAACATCCTAGAAAACCTAACCTGCTGTAAATGCAGGTAGAATATTCTCACCACATGTTTATTTGAGTTAATTGTTTCGGTTGCAGAAAAAATAGCATGTTTCATTCGGATCAAAAGTGACATTGTTCGACTCGCAAATTTTGCTTTCGCTCGGCTTCGCTAAACGCTCCGCCTCGCAAATGCAAAATTCGCTTGTCAAACAATGTGTCACTTTTGATCCTAATAAAACAATCTACTATTATACGTCCATGAGACAAACACGACATTACTAACCTAATTCAACTTCATGTGTAGCAATGTATGTGCAGTACCTCAAAATAAGGGGCAGACGAATGAAATATCTGATATGCGCTAGTGCAATATCTGCCAAAAATAAGATGTTCAATGAGGATTGTGTTGGTTTAATAACTAAGGAAATTAAAGACATTCCCATTTGTTAATTTTGATAATACTTGAAAATAATCATTGTTTTTCTATTTATTCCTTAGGTATTTTATTTAGTTGAACATAAATAATTATTCCACAAGTATTACATCTTTTTTTAATTTTGGACTTGGGAATATGGCCATTTACACTTTTTTCTTCAGATTAGATAAAAAGAATCTCTCGATTTTGAACATGTTGAACTTTCGTGTATAAATTGATATTCATCATACAGGACGTGCATGGAAAAAAAATCTGAATTGAGAAAACCTAATCACGAATCTGTGATTGAAGGTCTATAAAAATAACAAGTTTTCATTGTTCAAGTTTGAACCCGCCCTTGATTGGGTGAAAGTATAGAAAGGGAATATTTTCAGATGAATTATGAACATGAAAAGATGGAAACATCGAAATCAATTGGCATGCAGGAAAGAATCACTTGTATCAGTATTCGTTTATACGAGTCGATGCATAGATTTCGAGAGGATGTAATTCAATATCCTGCGTGGCATTAGCCAGGGAAGTAGTTGTTTTTCTCCCGATCCACCATTGTTGTTCATTTTATGAACACTGGGTGGAAATCACTTTGAGCTTTTTGCATTCCTTTAACATTTCATTCCACTGTGAGCATTGTGGCTATTTCGTAGTTGTAAAGGAATACATTGAGATTTCGCATTCTCTATGTGATGGATACACCAAGAAAGAATTGATATTTTCTTTATTCTTTTGGCTCCTAATTCAATGAGAATTAACCAAAATGTTCGAGATAATAAATGAATTCTAATATCGGTTTGATGAGTTTCCTAATTAATATAACCTTCAATCGTATAAGCCCTAAATTTTGGGATATCCTGAGGTCACCTCAGGTAAACAGTTCCAATTATTGTAATCCAGGAATAATGAGATTAAGTGTTTAATCAACTAATGAGAATTACTTTCGTAGTCACATTCTGGGAAACATTTGGTACTGGAAATGGTCACTCAGTAGGTAGAAATTAATCTACAGGGTGTGTCTAAACGTAATCTTTATCTAGTGTGATTTGTTTTTTTTTTGTATTTTCACAGTATACACTAGCTTAAGAGTTACTCCTGACGATTTATTTAACTGGTCAAAACACATAAAAATATACTTTGTTTTACGCATTTCAGTTCGATTTTCATCATGAGGCAACTGAGAATAAGGTCTATGTCCATACTGGGTGTCCCAGAGCTTTAAGGCCAGCAGATATCTAGGTTATCTATAACAGAAAATATTTCCAAAAATTTTGGAATTCATGCGGAAGCAGAAGCTCTTTAAAATGGTGAGATCAAATCACCCTTCTGTCAAACAATCTACTGGAAACCGTCTCTCACTTTGGTTTTTCAAATTACTTCCTTCAATCGATATAGCTTCATACTCAAAATTATAAAGAAGTAAATGATATCGTTATAGGTACTGTTTAACCTATAGTTATTCATCGAAAAATCAGCAGAGCTATACATACAAAGTCTCAAAAAGCGATATGAATTAAGTGTATAGCAAGTCATTTCAAGCAACCATTCAAGGAAAAATCGTTGTTTCTTCATAAAAGATATTGAAATTATTCGGAATTTCCGAAGATCAGTTTCTTGCTAAATATCTAGTCCGATATATAACTGAGTTGAGAATGAAAAACACAAGTTAAGGGTGGTTTTATAGTAAATTTTTTGACATGAAGGCAATTCGATTCAATAGCCTTGGAGTATATTGCTCCCATATACGGGGTGCGCGCTTTTCTAGCGCCACCATGGGGACCTCAGTTATTATAATAGTTACGAGGTCGGTTAAATCAGGGAAAAGTTGGGCATCATTCATATGCTGAACATGCTCATTTTCAATATTTGAAATATTTGAAGAAAACGAAAATTTTTTATTTTTTATTTTTCCAAGCGAAAACCGAAACACCTAGACGATTTTGACTATGACATTTTTGATATACTTTTTCACAAGGAATCTGAATCTGCCATTGTTTTTTCCATGACATTCTCGCTGGGAAAGTTACAACACTCAACTTTGTTTTTTCTTATCAGCGTCACATTGGATTTTTGCATTTTAGAAAATAAGTCTTTTTTTTCTCTGATGACAATGATGCATTAGGTAATATGGCGTCCATTAGAAAAAACAAAAGTTGTGTCCTATAACTTTGGCATCGAGAGCGTCATGGAAAATTTAATGACAGATTCAGAGATTCCTTGTAAAAAAGTGCTTTGAGAATATTCCAGTCAGAAACGTCTAGGTCTTGAAAAAGTAAAAACGAAAATTATAAATCTTTGTTGTCTTCCAATAATTTGAAAACTAAAAATGACACATAAAATTCTCTTGCAGATAAATGGTCAGCATGAAAATGCGCAATTTTGCCTTAATTCAACCGACCTCGTATCATGAGATCCCCATGGTGGAGCTTGAAAAACGGACACCCTGTATATCCCACAATTCTATGTTACTTTTTATATGTTAGTTATGTTTGATTGCTTATTGGAAATCGGCCACCCTGTACATTACTTGCCGGTGAATCTCCAAATATGAAATCACGAACAAATAAATATACTACCGAGCACAATCATCTCAACGAGCCATTGAACGAGTTCCCCCTATATATCTCGTTCGCACAAGATTAATGATAATAGACACAATACCAGCAGGATTAATGTCTTTAAATTGGTATTAAATTGCCAAAACTCCTTTCTCGACTGCCGTATTGTATCACGGACAATCCAGGGAACAATTAAACCAGGGATATATTATCAGCTGCTACCATATGAGGCTACAGTGTCCTACAAACACCGTTAGTTGGATCTTAGTCCTTATGCCGATCGGATGAAAAAGTGGAAAGTTAAGTGGAAACTGGTGATAAGAGAACAGTGATAAGTCACCAGGTTTGCTAGACTGTTTGTCGAGATGCGTTGAAAAGTAGGGACGATTTTTGAATGATGTAAAGCAGCTTGGTTGGTGCTATAAGGTACTAAAGGTACAGTGTTTCAGAACCAACACCGCTATTTGGTGGTAAGTGTGGAAACCTGATTGGAAAGTGGTGATAAATGATCAGTGATAAGTCACCAGGCTTGCTAGACAGTTTGTCGTGGAGTGTTGGAAAGTGGGGACGATTTTTTAACGATGAAAAGCTTAATGTTGGTGTCATAAGGTACTAAGTAAAGGCACAGGGCTCAGTGTTGGTCAACCTACATCGCTAGTTGGGCCATATTCCTTATTACGAAAGGGTGGTGAACGTGGAAAATTGAGAAGAAAGTGGTGATAAACTGATCAGGGATAAGTCACCAGGCTTACTAGACTGTTTGTCGAGATGTGTTGAAAAGTAGGGAGGATTTTTTAACGATGAAACATTTGTTGTTGGTGCTATAATGTACTAAGTAAAGGCACAGTATATTACGACCAACACCGCTTGTTGGGCCATATAGTTCAAATACCGAAAGAGTGGTGAACGTGAACGAAAAATTGAGTGGAAAGTGGTGATAAGTGATAAGTCACCAGGCTTGCTAGACAGTTTGTCGTGATGTGTTGAAGAGTGGGGACGATTTTTGAACGATGAAGAGCTTGGTGTTGTTTTGCGTACTGCATTTGGTGTTTGGAGCTGCAATTGTGGGTAAAAACAACACCGCGAGGTCTGGGCATTCCAAGTATACAATTGATGAATTGCTGTTGCTGTCGATACCCAAAAAGACTTCGGATGACATCGATTTGGATCCGTGCAAAGCAGGTAAATATTCTTGTCTTGATCGAGAAAATTTGATAGTAATCGTGAAAATGATAAGAAAAGTCCTATCACTTTATAAACTTGAATGTTTTGGAATTTAGTTTTCGAGATACAAGGTTTTGACATTAGAAATATCGGAAAAACTGCACTTATCATGCGATGTGTTTTTTTTTCGAAACATTTTTTTGGTGTATTTACGTATTTTTGTCTGGAAATCACGAATTTGATAATGAAAATGTCTCGGAAAATGTTAACAAACCATTATTTATTGAGATATTTCCCTATAAAGTTACAAATCTCACCTTCTTCTCCGGCTGTCTTCTGGATCACATTTATAACAATATGCCCTATTTTTTCATCATTGCACAATTCATATATCACAATGTACTTCAATGACACATTGTTTTTCTATTGTATGAGTCAACTAGAAATATGATTTTCTTGCGATTTATCTATATTTATAGTGAAAAGAAGGAAGAATATAATTTGAAATGGCGTGTTTTCATTTAAAAACAATCTGTTGACATTTGACGTCTCGTATTTGGATTGACTATTGATTAAATGGTCATCATCCGCTATGATTGTTCACTAAATAAGAAAAACTAGCCATAAAAATCATATTTTGTGTTGAATAATAAACAAGAAGAGCAAGTACCTGTGAATGCATCCAAACACAGGGGGAAAGAGAAGTCAAAATTTCGAACTTTTTCGTGAAATATCTCGGTAAATAGTGATTTCTCCACATTTCCTTTATCAATTCCGTGTTTTCCAAACAAAAATAAGTAAGTACCAAAACAAAATTCGAAGAAAAAACATCGCAGGAAAACTGCAGTTTTACCGAAATATCATTTGCATTTTTTCATTATCACCCTGTATAAGCGGTGAATTCAGGTACGCAAAAAAAACACTTCATATAACAAATGTACCGCCTGCTGAGTTTAATTCAAAATCAGCTGAGGAATTTTGGAGCTGTGAATAAAAAATATATATATATATATTTTTTTACATTTCAACACATTGTATCTCCAAAAAAGGTGCATCCAAACATACTAGTTTGCATTAAATGCTGTGATCTTCAATTATCCGAGTTCTATTTCCATTCAATTTTCCCGATTACAATCTAAAACACCCTGTATATTAGGATTGTCAATTTACTGAAAATTTTCCAGCCAGATTGATTTTTTTGGGAAGTGATTTTTTCTCTCATGGTAACTATTTGACAAATTTGGATTATTTTTGACAAAAAAATATCGTAAAACAATATAATATATTATCAGATAACCCAGAGGTTCTGATGACCCTTGCATGCCATAATATACCCTGCTTACACCTGAGAAAAAAAATCTGATTTCTCCCTAGGAAAATCATATTATCCTCCATTTTTATTAAGAAGAAATGCGATAAATGGTGATAATTTAACTGAATTGTCAAATCTTAATACAGTTTTATTGATAGTATAAAATTTTTCATTGAATCATAAGAATATTCAACACTATCGTAATAACCGCCAATTCAGTCACTTGAATCAGAGATTATACACTATAATCTCTGCTTGAATGAACTTATGAAATTATATTTCTTTTTCTACATTCATGCAAAAAGCAGAACTTTATTGAACTATATTTAGTGGAAAAAGAAGTTCTTTATTGCACTTAGTGCAATAAAGTTTTTATTGCACTCATCTGTCATTCTACTTCAATGTGCTGTCATCATGACAAATATTTTTTATAATGCAACTGTAATTATAGAAACGTCATATATTCATATTGAAAATTGCACCAATTGTTCATTCACTTTCAACATTGAGGGTAAAAATAAAGTTTGAGTTAAATTGTTCGTAACGTATTAGTTCCTGTTTCAATGCAAATCGATATTAATAATAAAGTATTCAAGTTGCGTTTTTCATTTTCCTACACCTAGTGCCGCACCTCGATGAATCATTTTTTGCTTTTTGCATGAACGTAGAAAAAATGTTGAATGCTACTCGTGCAAAAATTGTTTATTGCACTCGACGTGAAATTGTCCGGCGAGGCCGTTAGGCACTTGTTGCATAAATAACTATTATTGTATAATTTTTTCATTTTAATCAACAAAATTTATTCAGTCAACCAATTAACGCGGTTAAGTTCAATCAATATTGGGTTGAATTAAATAAATTTTCATTTGAAAAACAGCAAATATATTTTTTCTACGTTAATATATGACAGATTTTTTGAATTATATAACATACATTATATAACGTACTTGATTCTCAATGCCCCCATGAAAAATACTCCATTTTTGCCTATCCAAACGTTTCTGCCTATATTGACTGAGATAGCTATTGACCTCTACTTATATCTATCACATCGAACGTCATCAATATCAAATGAAAAAAGTGTTGCCTTGAAATGTTGATCTTCATATACATTTTATATTGATTTTCGAACAAAGCTGCACAGCTGTTCAAAATCAATCGAAATTTTCAAATGACCCTTCAACTATCACCACAAACATGTGTTCCAGCGTTATCGCGAATTCGAATATTAATTGTTATTAACGAACTCAATAGGAAATTCCCAGTCAATCCAATTGAGCTCATGCATAAACACGTGATTAGATTAAGACCGCATCGTATTATTCCAATAATGTTCATTCTACAGGATGTCCACGCTTTTGCATAGGTCGCGTGCATGATGATCGACTCTGGAGGTAAAATATTGACACACAACCTCACTTTTGTTTGTCTACAAAGGAATCGAAGGATTGAAATAGTTGTTCACAATATTTTGGCATACGAATCGTGTGTTTTGCGCTATTCATTAATTCAAGATACAAGCATGCCTTCTCATTGTGCTGTTGTACAATATACAAAAAATGTATCGAGAGACGGAAGAATTTCAGGTAAATAGTAATCTCACATAGTTTTCGTCATGAAATTTTGTCATTTCCTATTGAAATTCCTTCTGCCACTTTTGCAATACAAGCTAATACTGCTAATAGATTGAAAATGTCTACAACACACACCATCACTATCCAATCTTCTTGCATTATTTTCGAAATTTCACGAGTATTTCTATCAGCCCCAGCGAGCACAAAAACATCTCAGAGATGTTAAAAGTACGAGATTTCGAGACATTGAACCTCCACTGCGATGTTCTGTTCACACATGAATAGAACTATTATAGAACAGCCAATGTCCGCCGCAGGCGGCAATTATCGGGATGTCCTTGATATGTCACAAAACTACCTTCTCCCTAGTTCTTTTTAAAGCCTTTTCATGGACACAACAAAACATTTTCAACGCGTCTTGCGCACATTGAATCGCTGTAAAAAACCATTTTCGAGGTACTTTTCTGAAGCCTTTTGTCAAAATGAACTTTTGCATTAGGATTCCATTTCCCTTGAATGAAAAAATGCATTAAAAATAGATTGAACATAAAAATATTTTCTTGATATGAAATTACCTTCTTAACCGGTTTCTGAGTAGTGCTTACTACACACAGACATATAATTTGAAATAGGTTTCCCAATTTTTGGAATGTTCTACACAATGCATAATTTTGCAACTGCGGAGAAGCTGTGTATTGATGAATTCGTACTTTCATATATTGATTACACTGAGGCACCGGACAACACATCTTGCATCTGATGGTCATTATTACAAACTAAATAAGTCTTCTAACACAATAAACTTCACCAAATTCCTTTCTGTTCGTTAGCAGTGTGATGTAAGCGTGACACGCTGCAAACGCGAATGCCAATTGCGAACAAGAAGAACAAAATCGAAAACAAATCAGAATTCATCGTATTGTGACGTAAGCATGAGACGTTGCGGTGGGGCAAACAAAGAAAGGGCGCAAAAGAACAAAAACAATAAGTACGTCCAATATCCTTCTAAGACCTCTTTGGGAAGTGCATATATTACGCCTCAAAAAAACATCCTCATGCATACATTTCTAAAACATCCCAAAACATCCCAGGGATACCTCTCAGTAGGCAAACAAAGAAATGCCACAGAAGAACAAAAACAATACTTCAATATCCTTCAAAGACCTCTTTGGTCAGTGCATATTACGTCTCAAAATAACATCTTCATGCCAACATTTTCAAAACATCCCAAAACATCCCAGGGATGTTTGTGCTCGCTGTGGCTCCTATTGCAGAAGGTATTCCGATGAGCAATCAGAGAAATTACCAAATTTTGAAATGAAAACTACATATGAGTGACTATAGTAGGTACTTACTTCTGAATCGTAATGTACCAACCGGATTCCTTCGTCTCCCGCTGCATTCTTTGTGCATTGTACAACAGCACAATGTGAAGGCATGCGCGAATTAATGAATAAGTGAAAAACACGATTCGTAATCCAAAATATTCGTCTAAAACTATTTTTATCACTTGTGAACAAATGAGAAAAGTGTGGTTATGTTTGAAAGTTTCACCTCCAGGGTCAGTCATTTGACAGTTCTTGCACGCAACTTATTCCCTTTTAGGTTATATACGAGGTTATAGGTTGACAGTGACTCTTATTTTCCAGCTACACCTTTTTCATTTGTATTGAAACTCTCAAAAATGAGCAAATTCTCAACATTTGAATTCTAATTCCTCTGTACAGTTTATGTCAATTAATTGAACACACATTTCTCATTTTACTCGTGCAATCAAGATATTTGAGTCCAGAAAAAAATTGTGAAGATATATCTAGTTTCAGCTCCTCCACCATTTTCATGACATACAACTTGAAATAGTTATTTACCCAACAAGTGCGGAACGTAGTACTTTCTCGCACGCGACGGCAGAGTTCGGGCAAGCCTTCAAGGGTGGAAAATACATTCTCCGCAGGAGTTATCAACAATGAGAACACAAGATTTTATAATAATGCTACAAAATTACACATAAGACAGAAAAGTTACATAGATCATTAAGTTAGTCCTAGATATCATCATTTCAGCAATACAAAAATCGGGCGAAAAAGTAACTTTTCAGCACTAGTGTGGTAATAGTATATTGCGCAACAAGTGGGAAAAGTTCAACTTTTCTCACGAGTGTGAAAGTTTGTGGCACGAGCCTGAAGGGTGAGTGATGCAAACACACGAGTGAAAAAAGTGCTTTTCCCCACATGTTGCACACTATACTTTTTCTACAGTTGCAAAGAATCCGAGTAATGTAGCTTAATGTCATTTCATAATGTGGCACTATGCCACATTGAATATTGTGACTAAAGAGTATACGCCTTTTCTAGTTCCTCAAAGTATTTCAAAAAAATACACTATTCGAAAAAGATTTTATTTCTGTATTTTTCAAGATTCCATAGATTTTTCTTATATGCCAATTTATAGTCTTTTCTTGAAATTTCCGGAAACAAATCCAACTTTCGCAGCTTCTTCCATTATCTCTGTCTCTGGCGGTGTATTTATCAAAATCGTCACATCTCGCCTCTCGGTATATACATCATATTATTTACTATGAATTGTTGGAATAATATTTGATGGAAAATGCGATTTATATCAAAAGCACTAATGAGAACTACCCTGGAGAATTTAAAAAACTCCTCCTGACAGTTGTGACAAATATTCCAAGCTGAACAGCAGCCAAGTTATGGTCGATTTTCGTTGATTCTCCATGGAAATGTATGTGGTGTTGGCAAAGTGCCGAGAGAAAAAATATTTCTCACAGTTGAGCAATACATGGTTTCAAAACTGAGTTAGCTATGAGAAATGCGCTACTTTTCATAGCAGTAGTAGAAAAAGTAACTTTGTCGCACAATTTTATCGACAATTAAACTCAAATAGGAAGGAATAGAAATACAGGAGGATAAAAAATCGGATAAATTACGTCACCATAGCAACGTTTACTGTTCGTTTAACAAGTGTTGCGCGTCGCATCAGTTTGACAATTGTAAAGGTCAAGAACAGAAGTAAACAGCAAATGATATTCCAGTAAGTATGTGGATATTTGAAAATATTTGCGAGGCAGAATAGTATATTATTAGACATGTTTTATAAGACACTATTTTGTCGCACGCGTTGTTTGGAGTACCTATACGACGAGCGAAGTGAGGTGTGCTGCAAAAAAAATAGTGCGACAATATGCCTTATAAAACGTGTTCAATATACTATGTTTTCTATTTTGCATCCAATAGTTGTACTCTAGAAAAAGTTCGTTAATAAAAACATCAAATATTAGAAAGATATGAAGCTAGTATAGTTGGTAATAATAAAGAAACATTTGAATGTTCATTCCCGAATTTGACAGATGGTAGAAAAATTATTCAAATGAACACCACTATTCCAGCGATATAAAGTGCTCAAAGAAACAAGTGGACCACTGAAATTTTCGACAATTTTCAAACTGCCATAACTTTTAGGAAAATGGATGTATTTTCAATCGGAATACAGTGTTTGGAAGATGCGATCTTTCTGTTCAAGATTCCTTGTTCGAAACTGACTCGTTGGGAGTTTTTCTGGCATTATACACCAAGTGTTCGGAAAAAGTATTACAAGAATGTAAAAATTCAAACGCATCCGTATTCCAGGGAATTTTTTTCATTCATTTATTAATCGTTTTTTCAGAACGTTCAAGTCAATATCTCGAAACGGTTTTGTAATTTTCCATATTCCTCATACAGGATGTTTAAAATCGATAATTTTTCATGTTTAGGGTTTTATCGCATCATTTCCGATTTTAAAATTATGTGAGCCACATTCAACGTATTTTGCCACTCTATACGATGGAACACATTCTAGAATATTGCGGTTGGAATCATCGACAACTTTAACAGAGGAAGAATTAATTTTTTTGGAGAAATGTTCAGAATTTGGTGAAATCGTCCGTTCAGTTTGGTGCTGCCATAACCATATGCTATGCTAAACACTAATCCTTCATTTGGAATTTGGATCGATTGCTCTGCCCAGTATCTCGAATTGATTTCGTGAATTTTCAGATAAGGCAATCGAAGGGGGCGCAAGGAGGCCCTTCTGGTTTTTTCTGACCAATTCAAACAATAACGATGCTACAATGGTTTTAAGATATTCCTTGGCTGACACGAAGAAGAGAAACCTATTTATCATAAGGTACTTCATCGCGTAATCGAGAATCAATCGAAAAAGTCGATTTTTTGTAATCAACACTTATTTACGCAATTAATACCACTGAAACACCCAATATAATGCCTCCTGTCGAACCTTTGACAACTGTCATAATCGGTTATATACAAAAAACGTCAAAACAGCAGTGTCAAGTACATTTAGGAACTCTAGCTGAAACCACCTTCATCATTTTTTTCACATGCAACCCTATAGCCTGTGTCCCCTCTTTGGAATACTGGTGGAAAGAGGAATGCAGGGTACCATAGATATCAAATTTTAGTTTCTTCATTTTACTTGATTCTTTGGGATTTCCTCTCCTCGTTTTCATAAAATAAAAATATGCGTATAATTTCAATATATTTGTAGTTTGTTTGAGGGTTGCATGAAATCAATGCTCAAAATGGTGTTGAACAATTCATAGCAATTTTTTGTCACAACTGCTATCTGTTATTGAATATACTAGTGTTTTTATTAAGCCCCAAAAAATCAGTTTTCATGCCGATTTTTCAGTTTGAAACTAATTGCAATTGCAAACTGATGAACATACCTTAAATAATTGTTGCAAAAAATCGAAATTTGATGATACGTTGAGAATATGTTAGAATTTGAAACAATATTTTGATTTTGTGCCACCCCCAAACGTATTGCAAACTGGAATTTGATCAGTACGCTGGATTATTTCAACCAGTTTTCCAATGAGGGGTCACAAGCCATAGGGTTGCATTTGAAGAAAACATATTTGGGGCTGATTTCAGCTACCCCTGAAGGATTGTATTCTTTATATCACTCGCAAAATGTACGTATACATACATTGAAACGTTGACGTGTCTCGCAAATAGCGAATAATTTATTCCAGTTAAAGTCTCCACCCTGTATGATAATGATGAAGATCAATGAACTAACCTGACCAGTGAGAATTTCTACGTATTTCTTGTGAGAAATTAATAAAGTTTGTGTCAAAAATGTATTCGCCTTAGAGTAGATAGACTGACTTATCTTTACTGGCTAGACCAATGTAGATGTTATCATTTTCAGTGTTTGTAATGAATTATCGATTTTTACAGATATTTACATAGGAGATATAGCGATTCCCTTATCAGAACACCAGATCTTTCAGGAACACGGAAATGGCCTCGATTCCATGCTCGATGCAACGTTAGCGGAAAAGACTGGACAGAAGGAGAGCGAATATTCTGAAAATCATATTATTTGGAAAGGAGACAGTCGGTAAGGAACTCATTAGCTCTGATGCCTTAGTACAGAATTTTCAAAAATCAAATAAAAAAAAACATTTAAAAAGCTTCTATTTCAAAGTTTCCAAAAGAAGAAGGTGCACTTTAAATCGAATCATACCCATCAATTTGATTACGTTCCCTAATAGCATGCAATGTCCTAGGGACGTCTGATTTGGTACAATTCAAATCCGAATGTCCCGGACATAAAATAATTGTCCTTGGGACGTCCTATCACGTACATCTAATGCAATGTCCGAGCAAGGACGTCCGTGAAATGTCTCAGCTGTAACATCAATTCAAATGTCCTAAAAATAGCATTCTAATGAGAAATACTATCAAATGTCCCTTTGGGGATATCCATCGGATGTCCCAAGTAGTACATATTCTGGCATGACATCAGATCTTACATGATGTCTCTTTTAAATTGAACATGAAATGTCTCAGACGAACGACTTCAATATGTCCAGGATCGTATAACATTCGATGTGTAATTTTCGGATGTCCCAATTAGTACATATGAACTGTCATGATGTCAGAAGGAACTCATATAGATAATTGATATGTTCTTCTAAGTGATAAGTACAAGAATATTGTCTAGGAAATATAATTTAATGAAATTTCATGAGTACAACGTTTTATAGACGTCACAAGGACGTCATCAGATAGACAAACAGACAGCATGTGTACTAAGGGACATCCATCGGTGGTATACATTGGTATGAAGACTTCAGATAGACTTCCTATATAAATGTCCTTCACGCGAGCGTAAGATTTTTTTCGCACTGTACTAGAAATAACGTCCTATACGGACGTCCTAGTCGGTACATATGTAATATGTTGTCCCTGTAATGACGTTAACACACACCTGGCCGACGATCGACTGCTTGTAGGCTATAAATACTTCCCTTCAATGTCCTGTACAAAAGTCCATTGCACATCCTCGATGAATACTTCGATGAGATCTCTTGAGAACCTTCTTCAGGAACTATTGGGGACCTTCTACGGACCATCAACTCAACTGAATGTTCTCATCAGTTATGCAAGATCTGGTTCTAGGAAGATCCAAAAAAATTCAAATTGAAGAATAATTCGTACATCCTTGGGACATCCTTTAGACATCTAATTATTATACCTCAGCATTGCTGATAGAATTTCCTACGGATGTCGTTAGTAGTGCTTGATGAGAAATACTGTAGTATTTAGGTATTCGATAGTTGTCACAGGGACAGACATCCCATGAGGACGTGTCTAGTCGGTCCTCAAGTGGGACATTAGTGCGTCCCACTGACGTCCATTGAACGTCCGAGGTACCCAATTCGAACGTCCTATGGACGTCCTGAAAGTCCCGATTCTCTTCTTGGATCCGCAATCCAGAGTTCATAAACTCCGACAACGAATTTGATATATCTGATCTTGAAAACTTCCACATACCAATTTTGAATCTAATCGGAGCATGATAATTAATTTTGTCCGCCACTTTGAAACAGCCATTTTAGAATCATCAATTTCGATAATGAATTCAAAATTTCTGACCCCAAAAAACCCTACAAACCAACCTTGAATCGGATCATAATCACAAAGCTCGTTCCCCAGTTTGTAGAAGCCAATTTGGATTCATAAATTTCGGCATTAAATTCAATATCTAAGAGCTCAAAAACGCCCTTGTTTTCTTGTTTCAACCCGTTATCATTCAAATCGCGAAATTGAGTGCAAGGTACTGCACAGAAAACTGCACTTTTTTAATCATTTTGCGCAGGACAGTGATTGGCACAGGTGCCGTTCGATAAAGTATAATTTTTTTACATAACATTATGAATATATCATTTAAAACTCAATTATCTTGACTGTCAACAAGCTAATAAACTGAGATTTTATTCACCCTGTATATTTTTCCAAGAAAGAAAATCATTCTCGAAGATGGTCAGCCGAAAAAACTCGAAGACAAGCCAGATTATCGCGATGGGGCAGTATCCGAAACAAACAAGAAATCTCCTGCCCACGCTAGATCAACCAGAGCCGTCACTGCTAGAAAAGAGCGGGTCTGGGAATATGGAGTGATACCCTACGAGATAGACGGAAACTTCAGTGGCATGCACAAAGTGCTCTTCAAGCAAGCGATGAAGCACTGGGAGGACCATACTTGCATCAAGTTCGTAGAGAGAGATGCCGATGACCACCCTAATTATATTATTTTCACTGAACGACCTTGTGGGTAAGCATCTATCAATTCTGATCAGTTTTCATCTTATTTATCAATCAGCAAATCATGTCGTGGCTATAGGAAAAATGTCGAGTGCATCACATTAAAAAAATATTTTTTTTTTCATAAAATGAGTGGTTATGATCGCCACTTCATCACATTATTTCCTTTATCAGATGTTGCTCGTTCGTTGGAAGAAGAGGTAATGGTGGTCAAGCCATAAGTATAGGAAAAAACTGTGATAAATTTGGTATAATTGTTCATGAACTTGGACACGTGGTGGGCCTGTGGCATGAGCATACACGACCTGATAGAGATAAGCATGTCAACATCATATGGAGAAACATCATGGGTGGTGAGTGTTGATTATTAGAATGAAAGCTAGCAGAGCCCTATTCTATCACAAATTAATTGAATAAGTTATTTACATCAACAAACTGAATATTGTGATTAGCATCAATTGATATCAAACTGATTTTTTAAGGTCAAGAAGATAACTTCAACAAACTGAATGAAGACGAAGTGAACTCATTAGGTTTGAGATATGACTACGACTCCATAATGCATTATGCTAGGAACACATTTTCCAAAGGAATTTATCTGGATACCATTCGGCCAATCGAGATGCCTGATGGCAAGAGACCAGAAATTGGGCAAAGAGTCAAGCTCAGCGAGGGCGATATTGCACAAACTAACTTACTGTATAAATGTCGAAGTGAGTATGATATAGTATTTTGTCAGATCCTCTTTATGCTAGAGTCTTTGTGCCATGTCATTCAAACTCAAAGTCAGGGGAAGGTGTTTATTCGAGTTCCTCAATGTTCTTTACACTTTTTACTTGACATTAAGGAACTCTAAGACCAATGAATGCTTGTCTTTCTCAGTATAGTTAGGATCTTCTCAATTTTATTTTAGAATGTGGGCGTACTTTCCAATCAGTATCAGCCAATTTCACGTCGCCAGTATACTTGACCAACCCATTAGATGGACCTGTTCATTGTGAGTGGCGCATAACGGCTGCACATGGAGAAAAAATCGTTCTCAACATAAGCAACATCGACATCAAGAAGTCCGTGGGTTGCAAAACTGACTACGTCGAAGTCAGAGATGGTTATTGGCATCGGTCGCCTGTCTTGGGGATATTTTGTGGCAGCGGGTTGTTCCATCACTTGATTTCTTCCAGCAGTAGGATGCTCATCACGTACGTTTCAGCCAACCCAGAGGGACGTCTAGGATTTGATGCTAGTTATGAAAGTAGGTAGTTGACTGTTAACAACCATCTCATCATAGCTCGAAGTATCTCACTCAATATGCTGATGTGGTGTGTTGTTTCAGTTGTTTGCGGGGGAGACTTTCTCATTGATTCTGTCGGCCATCTTGAATCTCCCAACTACCCCGAAGAGTACCAGCCTAACAAGGAGTGCGTTTGGAGACTGGCGGTACCTGAAAATTACCAAGTGGCCCTCCAGTTTCAATCTTTCGACCTGGAGAACCACGACGGCTGCATCTACGACTACGTAGAGATTAGAGATGGCCAGGTGAGAAACAATAAAAACTGATCATTTGATTCAGTACAGCTTATGGTGAACGTTCGTCTGTTAATCTCTAACTCATTCAATTTATTTGTCTAGAAATTCGACAGTCCTGTGATAGCAATCCAGTGCGGCCACAAGCTGCCTGCTGACGTAATTTCTTCGTCCAACAGCATGCTCATCAAGTTCGCCTCAGACGGTTGGGTGCAGAAAGGCGGGTTTTCCGCTACCGTTATGAAGGAGTTCGATGAGTGTTCTAAGATCGACCATGGTTGCGAGCAACAATGCGTTAATACCCTGGGAAGCTACGTCTGCACATGCCTGATTGGATACGAGTTACATTCCGACGGCAAAAGTTGTGAAGGTAAACGGGGTGAAGGTATACGGGGTGGAGGTATACGGGGTGGTTGTACCTATACGTAGTCCTTTGATACATAGTGAATGTGTACCAGTTGAATGTATACAGAGTAGATTGATACAGAGTCTATATACAGGGGAGTCAGAATAAGGCCGACGTACATTGCTTACCCCATCCTGAAGTGAAAAGTGTCTATCAACGTATGTCGTAAAATGCATCTTCCCTGAGATACAGGATGTCAAAAGTGAAAAAAAAAATCGAGGTTTATATCAATTTCTTCGGAACTCCTGACAGAAAAATACTCAAACTTGGTATACCATATTCCAAATTAATCAGTGTAGTCATATGGAGTTTTCATTTTTGAATTTGGATCACCAGTGGCGTGCTTACGGTTGTATGTCGCCACATTCTCCTTCATATTTTTCCTTCAACAGATGAAATGTCAAGTTGGTGTATGACATCAGTTAGGCTTATTGATACTCCACCTAAAAGTAATGACAGCCACTTTGGAAGTCAGCAATCGATGAATGAGTGTTATGTACTGATTTTAATATAATAATTAGTAGTGATGAATCGAATAACGATTGAACTAATAATGACCATGCCTTATCGATTCGAGTTCTATTTATATTCGAAATCGATGCTAGACTCGCAATTTTCCGCAATGGGGATTGCCGTTACCTTTCGATATTGCTTACCTAGGTATTATCGCACGATAAGCGGATTTTTGCAAATTCTAGAGGAACTGACGTCTATGAACTCCGCTGACCTGATAGGAAACTACAATGTACTGGATGTTTCAATTTGGAAAAGTCAATTTATGATGACAGATCTTGAAATAAAGGAGAGTTTGAGTGATGTTTATTCAAAGGCATTTGTACTTCTTGTCAGTATCTCAAAATTCCGACTTTATAAGTCAGAATTTTCAATATAATAGGTGCGTTTTGTTGTGCCATAACTAAATCTGGTTCTTGGCATTGTACACGTTTTGTTGTGCATTCAAAACCCATTTCCATTCCCATTCGCATTCCTCTCTCATGAGAAGAATTGAAAATTGAAATGACAAATAAAAGTGACTTGTGATTATTATTGTGAAATGAGAATTGACAGTTAAAAGAAAAAATGGTCAGCATTCATCATATACTAGCTGATAATGATGAATAGAAATTGAAGAGAATCACAGAAAAACAGGAATTTCTCCATCTAAGGCATTGATGTCTTCCAAAAATCATCGTCTAACGGTGGTTGAGAATCATGGATATTAAATTTGTCTATATCAATTTTTGATTCATGGGAGTAAAAGCAGAATGATGGTAGTGGTAAAATTGTAACATGCCAGAGACAAATACGAGGACAAATATAATATGATCAGATTTTGAGGTTGAAAATATCAAATGTTTCTACAGTTCCAAATGTTCGCATTGTCTGGCGCCGGTCATGCGCTGATCCGTTTTCTTGGGCCCACTCATTCTATCACTTCCGGAATGGCACATCAAAACGCACCTAACGAGTCGGAATTCCGAGATACCGAGTCTGAATGCAATAATTTCAAAATACTAAGTTGGAATTATGTAATTCCGAGATACTCAGTCGGAATTATGAATAATAATTGCGTTGGCCCTTCAACGCCTTCGTGAAAATTTGAAGCACACCATTATTCATTTCATGTGTGTTTTCAGCTGCTTGTGGAGGCGTCCTCGATACCCCCAACGGCACCATCACCTCCCCCTCCTTCCCCGACTGCTACCCCAAGAGCAAGCACTGCGTGTGGCAGATCGTCGCGCAGCCGCAGCACAGAATTACCGTCAACTTCACGCACTTCGACCTCGAGGGCAACATCAATGGCGGCCAGCGCGACCGGTGCGAGTACGACCGCGTGGAGGTCCATAGTTTCCACAGCCAGCTCAAAAAGGGCAAATTGAGGACGCACGGGTCGTACTGTGGGCCCAGGTCCCCGGGACTGATAACGTCCGAGGGCAACGTGCTCAGGATCGAGTTCTATTCGGACGTGACTGTGCAGAAGACTGGGTTCGCAGCAGTGTTTTTCACCGGTAAGTGAGTTTAGGAAAATTTGTCCTGTCTTGGGTGAAGTTGGCCCAACAACTCATAATACGAAATTCGTGGATATCTCTTGGCAGTGCAGATGCAGTCAAATACACTGAGAGAAACTGGATATTAAAAATATCTACCAGCTCTGATTGTAATAACCATTATAAGGAAATCTCCTATTCCTGATCATTTTATTATTACAACAGTATTATCTTCATTCTGTAATTATAAAAATCGATTTCTTAAATCATTTGTAATACCCTTGAATGGACATTTGCTACCATCATAACGCAGGTATATTTATATTTTTTATTGACATAGCTCGTTTTGTGAATTATGCTCATAGGTGAATTCAGATAATGTTTGTCCCAATAATCATAGCTGTTTGGGTTTCTAGCATTGTAGGTTGACGAATAACTCTAGCAATTCACATGTATGACGGTTATTAGGCAATCATTCGACAATCGTAATTCGGCTCATTTCGCTCTAGTGTTTCATTAGTATTGGGGCTGACAAAGATACAGATCGCGTTCATTTCACTGCTGTTCTCGGTCATGGGTGCCCATGTTCAATTATTGTTCAATAGTTTCAATCGTCCGAATCGATATAGCCGTGTCTTGTAGGTGAATGTCTGTGATGTAGCAAAGTTTGGTTTTAGTGCTGGCTGTGAACCGATCTGTGGAATACACCGTGCATTGCATTATTGCAATGAAAGAAGTATTCTCCATACCCACTTTTTACGGCCTAAAATTGGTTTATTTCAAAAACAAAATGATCGATGATATTCTGAATCAAAATATCTGGGTTTCTGTGAGGGAAGTTTTATTGACCATTCTCATCATAACTCCGAAGGAAGGGTAAATATAAGTATTCAACTTCTCATTTCTTAATAAATTCGTCAGTATATAATGCATATAGATGATATTTCTTCGAAAAAATCAATGAGTCATGTCAAAAAACTTCCACAGATACCCAAATATTTCAATTCAGAGAGTAAACGTATTTTTTTGTTTTTTTGAAAACAATAACTTTGGATCCTGAAAAGTGATAGTGTGGATAGGATATTTATTTTCATTGCAGTAATTCAAAGCACGCTTTCATAATGCATACCATCGAATAATGTTGATTAGATAACCTCATTACCACTGTTTGATGAATATACTAGAGTAGAAAAATATTGGGATAACTGTTGAAAATGAGCTATATTACAATAGCATGTCAAAATGTCAGGTTTCATGCAGATATCAGATAACTATTATAAAATGAGACGTATTACTGCGTTTCCTCAAGATGGTTGTGCCAGTAATAAAAACATGCTGTTTTATGTCGATAGTCTGATAACCACTGTAGAGTGGAGAGTAACTGCAACATGTTATGGAAATAATTCCTATTCGACATTCTGTGTTATCATAGAAACTAGAACAAGTAGTAGTTATATTCAGCAGCGGTGTTTTTATACAAGTTTGCAAATTGAATAAGCTGTCATAACTACAAGTCACCTGAAAATTCACTTCATCTATGGTAGCAAATGAACACATCTGTCCCCTATTTATTGCAGATATCGTTATAACGGTTATCAGATTTCCAATTATGATAACTCAAGTTTTCTCTCAGTGTATGCATCTGGTAACAAGCAGAAGCTGCCAGCACCAGTGCCTCAACACCCTCTGCTCTTACACCTGCAACTGCTACAACGGCTATACTCTGCACGTGAATGGCCGTGATTGCAGAGAACTATATCGAACCATCCAATCACTTTTATTCGCAAGTGTTTCATAGTAGGATGCCATAGTTATACTGGCCGTACCTCAAGAAATATATCGGTAGATTATTCTCTGAAGACTTCAATATATATGTTCGCGGATATGGCCGAATGCGCAGCTGGTAAGGGTGGCTGCCAGCACAAGTGCCTCAACACTTGGCACTTACACCTGCAGCTGCTACAATGGCTACACCCAGGAAATATATCTGTAGATTATTCTCTGAAGACTTCAATATATGTTTGCAGATATGGCCGAATACGCAGCTGGTAACTACGGCTGCCAGCACGAGTGTCTCAATACCCTTGTCTCTTAGACCTGTAGCTGCTACATTGCTAGAACGACAACACTCTGCAAGCGAATGGCCGAGGCTGCAAAGAATCTTATCGAACCTGCCAATCATTTTTTCCCAAGTGTTTTTCAGTAGGATGTCATAGTTATACTAGTCGTACCTGATAAAATATATCGGTAGATTGATTTCTCAAGAACTCAATATATTTTTTGCAGACATGAACGAATGCGCAGCTGGTAACGGCTACACTCTGCACACGAATAGCCGTGACTGCAAAGAACCATATTGGCCAAATTATCAATAGCAATCTAGAAATAACTGAGGCAATGAACTCACACTTTTCAAGTATTGGTGAAAATACTGCTAATGAATTGAAACAATTCTACAATTATATGACTACTGACAATATTGCACCACGTTACAATGATTCAACAATACTTCTGATACCCACTGATGAATATGAAATAATAAATACAATTAGCACTCTTAAAAAAATGTCCTGATCCAGAAGGTTTGATTACACGAGATATAATAGAATTGAAAAATATTTTGGCCAAACCACTAACAAAATTAATCAATATATCTTTCACAACAGGTATTTTTCCAGATGAATTGAAAAATACCTCTTTACGGGCTATATATGAAAGTAGTGATGCTCAAAATCCAGTAAATTATAGGCCAATAGCATTATTAAGTATTTTCTCCAAAATTCTAGAAAAAATTCTCAAAAAAAGAATTGTAGATTTTATCAATAAAAAATATGGATTCGATTTGAATCAATCCGGATTTCAAGAAAACAGTGGTACACAATCTGCAGTGCTACAAGTAATCAATTTCATTCAGGACAGACTTGACAAAGGAGATTATGTAGTAGCGATTTTCATGGATCTAAAAAAGGCTTTTGATACAGTTGACTACAATATACTTCTGAAAAACCTTGCTTCAATGGGAATCAGAGGAATTGGACACGATCTCTTGAAATCATATCTTGAAAATAGAACTATTATAACTAAAATTAATAACTGTGAGTCTAAGATACTTTATTTAAACAAAGGGGTTCCTCAAGGATCAGTGTTGGGTCCAATTCTTTATCTATATATTATACATTCAAAATATTGAAAGAATGAATTTGATAGGTAACTATACCATATATGCAGACGATACAGTGCTTCTATATGAGAAGAAAAACCCAGTAGTTCTAGAACATATCATAAATGAGGTCTTGAAAAAAATTGACAAATGGCTTTATTCCAATCTTCTTTCTCTCAATTCTAATTAGACTCAATATATGATTTTTCGTCAAAGAAATGAACAAAATATTGATCTGAATATTAGAATAAAAAATGAACGTTTGAAATAAACTATACTAAACTATAAATACCAAATACATTGGTATTTGGATTGATGAGAAATTAACATGGGGAAAGTATATTGACATCCTCATAGGAAAAGTATCTCCCATTATTGGTGCTTAGAGAAGATGTCCTAAACTTAGTACATATACATCAAATATCATTCTCTATTCACATATACTCAGTCGAAATAACTATCTCATAATTATTTGGGCATCTTGTTCCAAAAATAGTTTCAACAAAATTTCTGTTCTATATAAAAAGGCATTGAAAGTATTGTATCGTCTTCCATATGATACTCCAACGAATCAACTGTATAAGGAAACAAACACATTTTCGTTGGAAGAGCTTTTCAATAATTTTTTCCCAATAAATCATTTTCAGTATGATGCCATAGTTATACTGGTCGTACCTAAGAGAATATATCGATAGATTGATTTCTCATGAACTAAATATATTTTTTTGCAGACATGGACGAATGCGCTGCTGGCAATGGTGGCTGTCAGCACGAGTGTCTCAACACCCTCGGCTCTTACACCTGCAACTGCTACAACGGCTACACTTTGCACGCGAATGGCCGAGACTGCAAAGAGGGGGGGTGTAAGCACGACATCGCTACCCACTCGGGCAACCTCACCACCCCGAACTACCCCGATAACTACCCTCCCAAGAAGGAGTGCGTGTGGCACTTGACCACCACTCCCGGGCACAGGGTCAGCATCGAGTTTCACTTTTTCGAGCTCGAGCCACACCAAGAGTGCTCCTACGACCACGTGGATTTTTATGATGGCCCGTCGATGGAGTACCCTTCCTTGGGGGTGTACTGCGGGTCCAAACTGCCACCCTTGATCGTAGGTCAGTATAAAAGTAGTAGATAAGCTGAAGGGCTATGAGGACATATTATATCAATCCATCAATTATACATACAAGTTCGAAAATCATGAGCTAAAATCAGTTTCGGAAGTTAAAGATCTCGGGGTAATAATGAACTCCAAATTGTCACAGTTTTAGGAATATAAAATGTCTTTTGAGTATTTATTATGCTTATGTGCACAGTAAACTTTGTTTCGCATCCGTTATTTGGAATTCCCAATATCAAATTCATATTGACAGAGTTGAGATGGTACAGAAAAAATTCCTCAGATTTATTGCTTACAAATCGAATATTGAAATAATAAATAGTGACTACACACCACTGATGCGTGAACACAGCGTGTTAGCTCTCAAAGATAGAAAAAATGTTACAGATCTATTAACAATTTTCAAACTGATGAAAGGATTAGCGCAGAGTCCAAACCTTGTTACGAAAATTGAATTCAATGTTCAAAGTAGATTACTAAGACTAAATTCCTTTCAAAAAAAAACGCTGCCCAAAATTCACCATTATGTAGGATGCTCAGAATATTCAACAGCATCTGTAATGATCTGAATTATTTCGAACTGAGTCTGGATTGTTTCAAATTCGGATACTCGTAATCCAATTTCTGACATCGGATATTTTCTGATTACCTTGAAAATTGACTGAAATGCCAGATATGTCTATCCTCGTGACCACTATTTTTCATTATTACTCTTTCAGACAGATGTAATCGAAATAGTGATATGAACAACTATTCGATATTTCAATCTCGTGTATATGTACTTGATTAACCTAGAAAATGTGGTAGTTGAAGATACAATGAATTTAGAATTGGGTTTGTTCATTCGTCATAAATATTGGAGTTGATATTCTATATCCAATTCATTATTATCTCTTCAGTTTTACACCCATATAGTGATCATGAAAATCTTCACGCACCACTTAGTTACCTGATGAGAAAATTATAGTAGTTTTTGATCGATATTCTTCTTGTAGCAGGAAATTCGAAGAAAGAAAGAGAGCTTCTTCTTCTCCTCACCACAAATATTTGGTTTTTCATTACAATTCATGTGTGTTCCGCTCTCTTGCACTAAATACATGTTCAGCTGTGTTCTACAAGTTCCTTTATTTTTAATGAGTCTGTCGACCTCAAAAATTATATCACAAAAAATGCATATTTGCTCAAACAGGTATTTTCAAACACATTAGTACACAGTTCCTTCAAGGCCATGTAGAAAACACATTATAAAAATAAAATGACCCGTGGAGTCATTTGATCCAAAATCTTTTGTCTTTCACAAATGGCCATTTCAAAATGGAACTCGTTTGAGTGAATTTGGAAAAATAATTTTACCAATTTTGTGCCAATGTTGAACCTGATGATCATTGTTTCTTCTTCTTTTCTTATACTCCATAACAGAATATCATGTAAATGTTATAGACTTGGCGACATTGTGCTGAATGATGAGAACTGACAAGACTACGCCCACAATTCGTGCGCAGTGTTTTCACGTTTACCGATTCAAACGTCCTCTAGTGTAAATTAATATAATTATTTTTAACACCAATTTTTTGTAAGCAATAAGCCACAACACATGAAGGAATATTTTGAGACAATTGATTTTTTGTTGCTAACTAGGAATATTACCAATACATACTTGATCATTTATGAATTAATGAATAACTAATATTTATGAAGTTTCCAATTGTATTTCCAAAATATGGCAACTACTTACGAAATCGTGATGTCAGATTTTTACTCGCGATGAAATTCTAGCCGTTTGAAAATTAACGTGGCATTATTGATAAGTTTAGCACCTTAAAATAGACTAAAACATCCAAAAAATATGAAATAAATTGGTATTTGAGTGATGATTCTATCTGAGAAATGAGAAAAAGTCCACTGTCATATTGTCATAGCGTTACGCATGTAAACCCGAGTTTGTGAGTTCGACTCTCACGCGGAGCGGTGCAGTTTTTTCATTTGTCATTGTCACCCGATATTAGGTCTTTGCATCATCTTCATTATTCTATAAATTTAATACCTTCCACGTTATAGGTTCGCGAAACGAGCTGTTCATATCATTCAAATCGGACAGCTCCACGCAGAAAAGAGGCTTCCTGGCAGCCCACTCTACGGTCTGCGGCGGAACGATGCTTGCCACTTTGGAGAAGCAGCCCATCTATTCGCACGCCAAATTCGGCAGTTCGAGCTACGACAACAGGGCCGACTGCGATTGGACTGTCGAGGCGGGCGAGGGGTATGACGTCAAGCTGTCATTTCTGACGTTCGACGTCGAGGGCGAGAAGGACTGCGGCTACGATTTCGTCGAGGTGTTTAGCGGCTTGGATTCCAGTGGACCTTCTCTCGGGAAATATTGTGGATCGAAGGTAAATCGAATCAACATCTTTACTATACAAACCAAGGGATCTGCTAGATATTGACTCTCTCTTCAATGCATTTCCATCTATAAATAAGAGAAAGCACCCGAATCTTACTTTCAAAATCAATTCTGATGCCCATTATCATCACACCAGACGAAGTGAACATTTCGAAACCGTCAAAAATTGTGGAAAGAATATTCATAATAGTGTACCCAACAGAATGAAATCTATTATGTTCGTCACAAAATTCAAGTGTGAACTGAAGAAATATATTTTTTCAATTTAACTCTCTCCTTGTTTGTTGGGATCATCAAATGTTATTATTATTTCTTATTTCTTTTGAAGAGAATTTTATATCCTGGTCCCTGATGCTTCAAATTAGAATATTATTTTTCTATCGTTCTCCTATCAATTATTCAGACCATTAATAAAATATAAGTTACTCGAGTACCTTGGTGTCAGACTTCGAATATAAAGACAATTTCGTTAGATAATAAATTCATTGTGGTATTCTTGCCTTCATCAGAGAGAAGTCGTAGGTGATAATTAGGCGAAAAAAAGACTAAGAATCTCTGTTCACTTAATTGATATAAAAATAGGCAGAAAGAGGAATAAAATCGAATTATTCTCTTCATGTGATTATTTCCTGTCTATATGAACGCCTGAACGTATACAGGGTTTAATGACATATTCCTGGGGTCAAAATAAAACTTTTTTTCCTATAAACATGTGTCCTAAAATCCACCCCCTCCAAGCTACAGACATCGCGTGTAATGGTAAGTTGAGGAAAGTGAATCGATTGTGACATGACGGTTATGACATACCACAATGTCAGTTTGGCATAAAAGATATTGATTAATCATTAGTTACCAGAGACAAACATAATCATAGCTCACTAAGTTTTTTTAGTATAATAATTTGAAAATACACCCCTTTCATTTACTAGCGATTTTCTCTAAAACGGTTAGCTAATTCAAGAAAATGCAGGAGACTGAAATGTATCATTTTTTAGTGGCCAATTCAACGATGATGTTTGAATTCAAATTTTTTTGGAGAAAATAGAAAATGTTTGCCATCAAATCTGTATGCAACCCTCATTCACCCCTTTCGATTCGAGTTACCTTATTTTTGAATCAAGAAATGAATAGATCGTCTAAAAACACAAGTGCCTGTGAATTTTCAAAATATTTGATGCATAATTGTAGCCACAATTCAAAATTTAAGATTTTTTTTGCGCATCTTGCGATGTCTGTAGCTTGGAGGGGGTGGATTTTAGGACACATGTTTATTGGAAAAAAAGTCTCATTTTGACCCCAGAAATATGTCATTAAAATATTTGTATTGAATTATGTAACACCCTGTATAAATATATAATCAGGTGAATTCTACATGGTGATCCACGGTGGAAGGCCTATTAGAAGTATCTGGAACACGAAAAGATAGAACATTCTGAAAATTGGGATGCTTTGATAATAAAACATTTTCTATACGTCAAAAATATTTTCATCGATACAGTGTTGCCATTTCTATAAGAAACAACTAGCAACTTTGTTATTTCAAATGGAACACCCTGTATTTTATTGCATTTTTAGATTCTTCCTGAAGAGCTGATTTCACTTGGGGTCTAGCAGGAATGATTACAGAGATATAGGGTTTTCAAATCAAGATTTTCCAGTTTTAGGATTTTTTTGTGTCGAAACTATTCATTATCGATCAAAACGGCTTACATGTCCCTATCTTAACTTTCGATTCACTATCTACCGACATTTAATTGAAACAGATACAGGGTGATCAGAATTTTGAATCTTGAAGCGTCCCGTATTTTTACCAATTAAATTCCAGTAAATAGTAAGTCAAAAGTTAAGATAGGAACATGTTAGCCGTTTTGATCGATAATGAATAGATTGTACACAAAAAATCCTAAATTTGAAAAATCTCGATTTTGAACATATTATATCTCTGTAATCATTCCTACTAGACCCCAAGCGAAATCAGCTCTTTATGAAGAATCTAAAAATGCAATAAAATACAGGGTGTTCCATTTGGAATAACAAAGTTGCTAGTTGTTTCTTATAGAAATGACAACAATGTATCGATGAAAATATTTTAGACGGATAGAGAATGTTCAATTATCAAAGCATCCCAATTTTCAAAATGTTCTGTCCTTTCGTTCTCCAGATACTTCTACTAGGCCATCCACCGTGGATCACCCTGTATATATTACCCAATTAATAATAATATGCCTGCCATAGCACTATGAAGTTAGGTTTGAAGTGTGTATTGAGGGTTTTCCAACTATGCACTTTGCCTGTATAGTTGATGGTTTTTGAAGAAAATTTTATGGTCCTATTCATGCATTTCATAAGCTAATCAAAAATTCTCTATTTATTTAGGGCATGAAGGAAACATATTGTCTGAAATTAGTAAATTTCGACTTGTTTTCTTCAAGTAATTTTACCCCCCTGTTTGGTATATTAATTCTCTTGAAATGTTGGCTGGGCAAAGAATAAGAAATCAGTATTCTGACCTATTGTACGGGGAAAGGGAAATATCTACACAGTTTTTTTCTTTCAGGAACCATTCGACATTGTTTCATCTCAAGGAGAGGTACTCATCAGATTCAGTACAGACGACACTGTAGTCAGCAAAGGATTCAGTCTGCTATATGAAGCGGTTGAAAATTCATTCAGTGAAGAAAGATACGATTAGGACTCATCGTCGCAGTGCTACTCTGGTTCATTCAGAATTCGAAGATGATTCACACACTGAAAAATACTTCATCAAATTGTGATTATGAGGGGTTCTTCCAAATAGAGACTCATTCGTGGTTTTTCTTCTAGTTTTATCGAGAATGAATATTCTTATTTCTAGATCATTAATATTGAAATTTAATAATTGCTGAAGAGTGTTGCCAAGTAGCTCTTGCTGGAGAACCCTTCAATACTTTATCAAGGAAGCATTTGAATTTGCTTATGGTACCTACTGGAATAGAAGTGGCTTCGGAAGTGGAAAATTCTTAAGCTGTTATGATGGTCTGCTGAGAAATTAATGATTAGGATAGCTCAAAGAAAGCAGTCGCAGTGTTGGCTTATACATGTATTATTTTATTTATTCACACAAGAAAGGCCATAATATATGGGTTGGTAGGATATTGAGAATGGAGTTTCGAAGTAGTTACATGATTTTAATCTTATTCGAATTTTACTGATAGAGAAAATCTTAAAAATGTTATCATGAAACGAACCGTCCTTATAATATTCTCTCAAAAATAAATATATAACACTTTCATCAACTCAGAAACCAATGAATTTTGACTCTTCAATGATGTTGACTGAAAGGTATTCATTGGATTTTGTGAAGAAAATACATTTTTTTCTGGGTTTCCCAATCATTGTATTCTACAAGGCGGTAATAAAGATGGTGTTTTCGTTCGAAAGAAATAAAATGAAAATCTCACAATCACTATATCATAGACTAAGTAGTCATGTGAGATAGAATGGGAGTAAATTATAGATATTATGACATTTAAAATTGAATAAAAGAAATCAAATGAAGAGTTCGAGCGTTTTATTTCGTTTCACCTTGCAATATGCTACAAATATATCATGCAAATTCAACTTCCAAGATCAATTAAGATTTTTTGTATATCGCTACTTCAAAGTTGGGAACCAACTCCCCAGAAGTCGAAACTTGTGCGGGGTTAGGAAGAGCGGGACCTACAGCTTATAGTGGAATCCGAACCACTTCTAGGGCATCGAGGTGCTGCCAGGATTACAACCATGAATCACACATTTTAAAGAAAAATGCTCAGCCGACAGCCGGATTCGAACCGACAGTACCTCTGCATCGTGAACGGCTATCTAGCGAATTTCAGCGCATAGACAAACTCGGCCACGGAGCCCGATAATTGATAACAAAATTGAATGGAATTATTTGGATATCCACAAAATTGTATCATCGACAAGTATTGTATATATCTATAGTTGATACACCAACAAATCAACTGTATTTACAAAGGACGACAATATTTTCTTAGCAGTATAATCAATATCTCTAATATATTCATCATTATGTAACTTATTTATTCATTTTCTGAAAAGAAGTATGCAACTTGATATTGAATCGGGGAATCGGGCGTTACTTGATAAATATCCATAGTAACAGTAAAAAGCTTTGTGAACGATGAACAATCAATTGTAGGTATTAGTATTCCACTTGAAGAAGCTACTGTGTTAGGTCGTACAATTATTATTTAGTTTGCAAAGTTTTTCATGAAGGAATTAAAATTTGAATAAACATCATTGATACCAATCACTAACCTGAATACTGGTTTTCAAGATTATTTGAGATAACATCTCTTGTGTATTCGAGGAAAACATTGTTCCAAAACAAGGATCTATTATTTCTCAGAAAAATGGATGAGGAAAGAGGTAGGAAATGACAAAATAGACTAAGTAGGGCCTGTATGAAATGATTATGAAATTCTTTGATTTGTCAGTTCTGAAGTCGTATATCTGAATGAACTTTAATGAGTTTTTTCTAGAGGGAAGATTAGAACGTGTTCATTTGAAGTACTCGAGAATACTACTCATGATAATTGGCTTATGGCCAATCGAGTCCACAGGATTTAAGGTGAAACTGTACAATGCCTATTCCTACGTTGGTTTCGCTCATTTCTTCACTGGCAGCATATTCCTAATTGTACAGGTATTTGTAGGCGAGGAAGATATCATCGACAAACTAGATATTATATGGAAAGTTGCCTTTGCCTTGCCATTGATGTACAAATTTTTGATTACGAAATCTAAACCTATCAGAGAAATAATTCAAAGCTTGGACGATAAGGAGGAGGAAATTCTGAAAGATACTGCTGATGAGGAAATCAGAAATATTTACATGGAATATGCAAATGCTTGTCAGAGACTGGTACTTACTAATTTAATGATTGGAGCTTCGACGGCACTCTTTTTAGGGATGCTGCCATTATTTACGAATTCTATTGACAAATCTGAGATCAGATTACTACCTTTTACATGTTGGTTTCCATTTGATGAAGATAAATACTACTGGACAGCATTTATTATGCAGTTCTATTTCGTATGGCTTGGACATGTCTATTTAGTATACCAGGGAACATTATATTGCAGCTTATTGATGTTTTTCGAAGGCCAGCTTCATATTATGAGACACATATTCAAAAATATCACGCATTATATCTCAGAGTTTTCAGAAAGAACCCACATTCCCTTCGAAAATTCTCAAGAGTATTTTGTCAATATTTTTATAAAGCAGCATCAAAATATTATACGGTGAGTTTCTATCTCTAAGAACTCAAATAATCATTCTATACATCCAAAAATAATCGATAATCGTGAACCAGAATTATCTATGTACCTTAGGCTTTCCTACAAGAAAAACCCTCAAGTCGGCGTTAACATTCACTGAATCAACAAATAGACTTCTCATTGGCATTATAAATTTCCTCATAGAAAGTAGAAGAATCTCCACCAAAACTGAATCATTAGTGTGTTAGAAAACACAGAATCATCTCCACAACGATTAATAACCCTACCCAATCAGCACCAGACATCTTAAAGACGTACATTTTACGACTTACTTACGTCTTTACGTCCAGGGACGTATAATGTACGTCTTTAAGATGTAAATCCATGTACATCTTAAAGGCGTACACGAATTTACGTCTTTAAGACGTACATTTTAGGTCGTATCCACGTCGTTCCTCCCATGTCGTATAAAAGACGTCTTAAAGACGTACATTCCAGTACGTCAATTCGACTTATAGAACAATAATGTGTTATTTTCTGAAGAAAAACAAAATGTCATCTCTTCACGTTTTTTATTTTCAATTGTTCAGTTTTTTCTTATTTTCAACAAAAGTGATGTTTTTGAATTTTTCCGTCCCACAATTTGGAGCCTTCGTGTTAGATTCTCGAATTTTTACAAAAAAATCATATTCTCCGACCCCAAAAGTCCCATAGTAATCAATTTTGAATAAAATCGGACTATAATCACAAAACTCGTCCGCCATTTTGAAGCCGACATCTTGGATTTTTCATTTTCGACAAAAGGAATTATAATCTTGAATTTTGATTCGAATCGGAACATAATCAATAAGAAAATTGTCCGCCATATTGGATCCGCCATTCTGTTTTTTCCATTCAATAATAATATCACAACGAATTGTCACCGGAATAATATTTACTTGCCAAATTTCAAATTAGTCGGACGATTTAAAGTGAATCAAATTTAACTTGCACGTTTTGATTACAAACAGACACAAGGACATGTTAAACTAAGAAAAAGCTTGTTATGTGATATATAGAACAAACAGAGTAACAGAAGAAGTGAGTATGGTATAATCATCGAAGTCAAGCAACAAAGAGCGCGGTTAGTACTTGAATGGGTCACCGCTTGTGTCTACTGTTTGATGAAGACGTTTATTTCCCTTTTTTTTTGCTTGTCTGCACTTCACTGCTAACTTCAGTGCACAGGTGAAAATTAACTGAAACTATGTGATTTTTCCGTAATTTGAAAGATCAATTTGAGGTCATGGACCAAAAACACCTAAAAAAGACGTCTTAAAGACGTACATATTAGTGGAAAATGTACGTTTTAAAGACGTCTTAAAGACGTCTCTTGGGCGTAATATGTACGTCTTCAAGATGTACTTATGTCCCGACATGTACGTCTTAAAGACGCCTTTGAGACGTACTTTGGCTGATTGGGTAATAGCACACAACGTCCTAGGGACGTCCCTATTTGGTACAATTCAAGTCCAAATGTCCCGTACTAAAAATAAGTGTCCTTGGGACGCCCCATCCCGTACATCTCATGCAATGTCCGAGCAAGGACGTCCACGGAATGTCCCTGATGAGATATGATTTTAAACGTTCCTTTAGGGACATCCATCGGATGTCCCGAGTAGTACATATTCTGGCATGACTTCAGAGCTTATATAATTTCCCTTCTAGACAACCATATGAAATGTCACTGATGGTACATTCCATCAAATATCTCTGCACAGACGCCCTCAATATTTCCAGGATCATATATCAATCGAAATGTCCCGATTGGTACATGAACTGTACTCTTTCAATGTCCTATAAATAACGTCCTACGGACGTCTTTGTCGGTACTTTCAATATGTTAATTGTCCCTGCGAGGAATGTCCCTGATGGGATATGATTTTGAACTTTCCTTTAGGGACATCCATCGGATGTCCCGAGTTGTACATATTCTGGCATGACTTCAGATCTTTTATAATTTCCCTTCTAGACAACCATGAAATGTCACTGATGGTACATTTCATCAAATATCTCTGCACAGACGCCTTGATATTTCCAGGATCGTATAACAATCGAAATGTTCCTTAGGGACATCCTTCGAATGTCTCTTAGGGATATCCGTCGGATGTCCCGATTGGTACATGAGCTGTACTCTTCCAATGTCCTAGAAATAACGTCCTACGGACGTCCTTGTCGGTACTTTCAATATGTTGTCCCTGCGAGGACGTTAACTTACATCTCGCCGACGAATGATTGCTCGTAGGCTATAAATACTCCCCGTCGATGTCTTTCACGTAAATCTATTGGACATCCTCGGGAAACTTTTTCAGGATCTATTGGGGACCTTCTACGGACCATAAACTCTCTTACAAGCGAGCGTTTTTCATTGAAACTTGAAGAATAGATGAAAAATAATTTCCCGAAAAATGTGTGTAATTATTACCTTCGCCACCCCAGATTCAGCCGCCACTGAATAGTTTATATGAATAATTTTTATTTATTCTAATAAAACTCAAAACGTTCAGTATCTGTGAAAAATTTCGTTAATTTATCTACCGTTTCGAACTTTTGATTAAAAAAATATATTCAGAAGCGTATTTTTGACACCCAATATCTCAAAAACGAAGCGTTCAAAAGTTTATGTTCATAGGAAGTTTTTTTATTATTTTAACGAGTACTATACGCTGTTAAATTTTCCGTATCAAAAAACGGACCACCCTGTATATATATATATAATTTTTTTCATGTTTATGATATATCTGAAAATATTCCTTTTCAATATTTTCTTGAATTTATTTTTCCTGAATAGTAATAATGATTATACCACCTCCTCGATTAACCTACAGACAGTATCTCTTGAATTTTTCGACAAACGATCTTTACTTCTGGAATGAATTCAATTTTCAATATTCTAATATTGTCGCTAATCAGTATTTCGCGGCACATCGCGGCATAACATTTGTAATATAATGTAAATTCAGGAACTTTTCAGGTCAATCGACAGCCTGAACAGCAGTATAAAAGACGTATGTGTTGATAGAATTTTGTACCTGCTCTGTGCAATCGGCGATGTTAGCATCCATGGTGATATTTATCGGAGTATGTATTATGTTTTACAAACCCCCAGCTTGTACACATAAAAAGGATATTTCATTTCATGGAAATATATTTATTCACTAAGAATTACCTACTCCGAATAAGTAATATTTTTTTTCTAGATTAATATTC